CCCCAAAACCCCAAAACCCCAAAACCCCAAACTTCTCACTTTTGATTATATCAGCAAGATTAGAATAAAATTATTAAAGAATTGCTCTAAAAATTATACGAGTTTGTTTATTGCGTTGAAAATAATTTGAAATAATGAGAAAAAGTTTGAAAGAATTGTTCCCAAAAAGGTAAAGAACAAAGAAGACATCCCAAATTCTATCACAAAAGAAGAATTGTACAGATGGGCTTCGATAGCAAATAAAGTCTATGGATATCTATGGGTAAAAGATCAGTCTTTCCTATAAAGGAGATGACTCATTTAAGACATTACCTGGAGCCATGTCTTCAATTATTGTGATGTCTATTCTATTGGCATATACTTGTTTCAGAAGTTATGTTTTATTCACGAGGAATAATCCTCAACTCAGTAAGCCATCATTCCTCAGAGATTTACAAACTGAAGGGCAATTTTAGCCTTAGGATTATGGATTTGACTTAGCATTTGGATTAGGAAAGGAATTAGATCCTAGCATAGGATATTATGTCGTAAACTAAGTCAAGTACTATTACATTGATTAATACGATAAAAATGGAAATCAAGTCAGAATCAAGGAGAAAGTTCCAATTAACATTGATATTTGCAAGAATGGGAATTACGCATATGATAACTAAGTTGAGATTTCAATGTTTAATGTAGATGACATGCTCTGTATGAAGGATAAGAATTACACCCTCATTGGAGATTTCTACTCACCTGAGTTTAGATATCTAGAAGTTAAGCTTCTTAAATGTGTTAATTCCACCTAATCCAAGGTTATCTGCAAAAATCAAACAACGATTGATAATTTTTTGAGTCCAGAAAAATTTAGTGTTGCATTCGTAAATACTCAGTTTGATTTCAACGACTTTGAATAACCATTAAAGAAATTTATAGATGATAGTGTTTTTTGGGAAATTGAATCACAAAAACACAAGAAATCAAACTTCTATGTATAAAAATAAGAAGCCTTCTTGATGGACGATTTTCTTCAATTAGGGCAAGTAGAATAATTTAGTTTTCAATAAGTCTCCAACAATAGAGATTATGAAGATGAGTACTAGCAGTCTGAAGCAACTTTGATAACAATGTATGTCAGGTTTGATCAAAGATATGATATTTACAACAGACAAACATATTCTTTGTTGTAATTATTTTCAGATATAGGGGGGCTACAGCAATCTCTCTATCTGATAGGCTTCTTAATCATTGATTTTTTCTCAAAAAGAATATTCATAGCTTCAATATTAAGGTAAATTTATCAAGTTAAACATGATGAAGAAGCAAATTCAGATAAAAAGGATCCATTTAAAGATGGAAAAGATAAAAATAAAATTAATAATGAGTCCTAAATCTAAGAAGATTCTACAGTAATGAATAACTCAACAATTGGAAATCCTGTGAATTCATTAATAACACTTCAATAGGCTAACAGTCAGATGAGTATGAGCACTAATCACCCTAAAAAATTCTTTACACCTAGAGATGATATTAAATAAAATCCAAAAGCTAAACTTAGTCTTGATAGAAAAAATTTTGAAAAGTAGCTTGGACTTGATACCAACAGACAGGAATTTACAAGGCCTAGAGGATTTACTGATAAATAGGTGCTTGACTCACCTTAAAAATCAGATCATTTCCTACCCCCAATAACAAATTAAACTGTATCTAGTAATTAGAAAGAGCAGAAAATGAAGAGAGTAAAAATTCAAGCTACAGAAAGATTAAGAGCTGCATTGGAATCTCCTGAAATTGATACCAAAAGATCTCCAGATAATTCAAAATGGGGAAGATCGAGCACAATGAATTTCTAGATTGAGCCATTTGAAGTACTAAGTTCTTTAGATCAGTACCACAGTAAGGAAAATGAAAACAAAAGAATGGACTAAGAAATCAAGAATAAAAAAATCCTCAATGAAGATGATTTGCAATCAGTTTTACTTAATCTCATTAAAAGAAGAAGATTTTAATACACTGGAAAAAATATAATGGAGTATATCTTTAATTGTCTATGCTTGAAGAGAGATGGGAAATATAGACACTAAAACAATCTCAAGAATCAGTATATCTTTAAAAAGGGTGAAGGAAAGCTAATAGAAGAATTAAATGTTATTTCAATTTTGAAAACTATGAGATAAGTCAAGCTGCTTGCGCAGGTTCTTTTGAATCAGAGATAAAACATGATATTAAAGTTCCAGAGGAAAAATCTTATAGAAACCAGTTCTTCGTCAGAAGATAGTGACAATAACAGCAGATACTACACTAGCAAACTGATGGAGAGCAAAAATCCAATGATTCGACTAGTTATATTTGGTAAACTAAAGAAAATGGTTCAATCCTATAAAAGTCAAAAGCTTTAAGAAATCGATAAGAGATTACTTAGAGGACTCTTCATTAGAAAGCTTAAAGATTTTGATGAAGATTAGCAAGAATGAAGTAGAAACAAGAGTCTATTAGTAAGGTTGAAAAATGTTATGCTTAATTCATCAAGACATTTATACAATCAAGATGGAATACAAGGTACGAGTGATATGAATATCCATCAAACCAGTATTCAAAAAGAAGATAGCAGCAATAGCGATGAAAAATCCTTAGATTTTGATTCTTAGAGCGTTTCTGAGCATTCTCAAAGACAATTAGAAAATTTTAGTATAGCCTCAGATAAAAAGATATTTAATTTACCATCATTTTAAGATGAAGAAAATATCATTCAAAAGCAAAATATCTATGAAAATGTATGATAATTTTCTGATGCCCTTGCTCAAATGTTATAAATTGACACTTGAGATTAGGACTTTATATTTCCTTAAAAGATAATTGGGAATTTATTACATTGAGATAAAAAACAAACATTAAGTTAAGTGATTTCTTTATTTTTTTAATTTTTGTTTAATGGGGTTTTGGGGTTTTGGGG